AGAATTGTTTTAAAGACTCTGGCCTGGCCTCTGGATTCTTCTCTATCCTTCCCTCCCTTCTTCCCTCCTAGCTCCTGGTGACCATCCATCTCTCCAGTCTTCCTGGTTTTGCTTTGTCTTGAATGTCACTGTACAACAAAACTGGAACCTGAATGAAGGGAGGGATTGTCAACTGTGAGTGTCGCTGCAGGGTGACTTCTCTATGAAAGAGTCTATCAAAGAACGTTGTTTTAAAGACACCTTTCTGGGGAATGCTCCTATTCAACATTGGCTTGCTCATAATCCCATAAACAATTTAGTCTGTCAAAGAACTACCCCAGCCCCAGTTGGAAATACCCAATTCTCAGAAAATCAACATTTTGGTTCTCATATGTTAGGACATGCCAAGTGTGTTGAAAGCAGTGGAAAAGAGTAAGACCCACAATCTAAGAAGCCAAGAAGAGGGATGTGCTTGAATACACTGTGGTCCAGCCATGTCTTGAACCACATGCCTTCCTAAAAGGCATTTCTAAAGTTATCCATTTTCATGGGTAAATGTTCATGATAGTGTGTTGAGTGACATCAAGTGCAGAGAAACCGATACACAGGAATCAGCCTTGTGTATGTTTGTGATCCACATTAATTACAGCATGTAGGAAATCCGGTAAGAATTTTCCTTTGATCTGTACATGACACGCTAATTTCTAAGAATGGAGGATAACAATAGCTGTTTTTCAGTGACTTCCAAGTACCTAATATGTGGCCAATACTCTATTAATTCATTATTAAAACAAAGAGTAAATTAAAAAGCCCAAATGTTTACAATGGTTATTTCTACCTGGTAAAATTGTGAGCTTATTTTTCTTTGTGTGTATGATTTTCTTTTTCTTTGTTTTCTTTTCTCCCTGTGTTCTGCAATGAGCAGCTAGAAGCTTTCTTTAAAACAAAAATAATAATAATGAGAAAGACCACCTCACGTTTCTGGCTTCAGAAGCATCATCAAGCTTCTGAACAGGGAGCAAGTGTCCTGTGTCAATATGATAGTCAGATCTGAGGCTCCATCAGAACTTCTGAAAGTTCTCATTTCAGTTTATCATTTACTTCCCTGTCTGTTTAAAGGACAGACCATGGAAAGTTTTCACACTTGGGACAATCTCTTCCAGAAAGATCCCATGCAAGTTTCCTCAGAATTGGTCCAAGCATTTTTTTTAACCCATAAAAATTTGATCATGCCACATTAAGGAAATATATTCTACAATCATCAGACTAACCAGGTTTTGAACTTGGACTTCCTAACTCCTTTTCCATAGATAGGGCTAAAAGCTATATTTTCTTCTAATATAGGAACATTCATAATGCATGCCAGTTCTCACTTTACTCTGACTTTGTTTTTCAGAGGAAATATTTATATATTTTTCTGATTACCAAATGAAAGTAGAGTGTAATGAAAATATGCAAAAGCCATCTGGGCCTATCAAACCAATCCTAGATATCATTATCATTCCTTTTAAGCTTGTGTAGGTTTGAATTACAGAAAAAAATGATGAGAAAATCCTCGGCAATGTTTAGCTATGATCCTTATAAACATATAAGAGATCATGGAGATTTCATCTTTAGCATTAACAGAAAAGAACTTCATTGGAAAGCAAACTGTTTCAGTGTTCTCTCACCTTACCAGAAAGTCACACTTAAATTTATTTCTGAAAACATCAGTCTTTGATGACCTCACGGAGCCAGACTACTAGCTAAGTAGAAGTTCTATCTATGAATAGTCATTTGAAGTCCAATGAGGTACCAGAGCCACTTTTTGGACACTTTTTCTGTTCATATGTTGCCACAGAGCATGTACTAGTAGGATCTGTCCCTTTCTCTTGAGATCTAAAGGTCCAGCTTTTGCCACAATTCGCAGACAGTGCGCCTGTGCCTCTTGAAGGGCAGGCTTTGGGTGGCCTCTTTTATTGATTTGCTTGACCCCAGAAATACACAGTAAATAGCATCTGTTCAACTTGAAAGGCAAAATTAAACTCCTGATATTATCTAACCCAATCTAAACCCTTCATTGATTTAGAACAAATAAAGAAAAAAGAAGTAACAACAAAAGAAAAAAAAAAATAAAAACAATAGGTAGTAATGGCAAGGACATTGTGAATGAAATGATCCACTTTAGAAAATAGGCCTGGTCATCAAATTAAAAGCCTTTTGCACAGCAAAGGAAAAAATAATGTGAAGAAAGAGCCTATTGAATGGGAGAAAATCTTTGCCAGCTACTTCCTCCAACAGGTAATTAATACTCAGAATATATAAAGAACTCAAAAAACTTAACACCAAAAATAATAATAATACTCTAATCATAGGAAAGCAAACTGTTTCAGTCCTCTCTAACATGACCAGAAAGTCACAATGAGCTAAATAGACATTTTCTCAAAAGAAGAAATATAAATCACAAACAAATATGTGAAAAAAATTCCAACATCCTTAGCAGTCAGGAAAATGCAAATCAAAACTACACTGAGATTTTATCTCACTCTAGTTAGAATGACAATCATCAAAAATGTAAATAGCAATAAATTCTGGCAAGAATGTAGGGAAAAGGACTACATTCATACATTGTTGGCGGGACTGCGAGTTAGTACGACTATTTTGGAAAGCAGTATGGAAATTCCTCAAAAGACTAGGACTGGAACCACAATATGACTCAGCTATCTCACTTCTTAATAATTTATCCAAAAGAAAAAAAAAATCAGCATACTGCAGTGACACAGGCCTACCAATGTTCATAGCAGCACAATTCACAACAGCCAAGTGCCCATCAACAAATGAATGGATAAAGAAAATGTGGTCTACACAGACAATGGAGTCTTACTCAGCCAGAAAGAGTGAACTTGTGCCGTTGGCTGGTAAGTGGATAGAACTGAAGAACATCATGAAGAATGAAATACAAATCAAGGGTCAAATGTTTTCTCTTATATGCAGAAGCTAGAAAATGAGAGGGGAGAACAAAGGGGACTCATGAAAATAGAAGGGAGACCAATAGAGGAATGGGATCAAGAAGGAGAAGGGAGACGAGAACATAGGAAAGTATTGGGGAACAAGATCTACTAAATTATGAAGTGTCCGAATATAAACAGATCACAATTACATTGATAATGCGTTAATTAAAATAATAATAGTCATATTAATAGTAGTAGAACAGAGATCACTAGAGTAGAACAAGTGGACCAGTGGGAGGAAGAAGAGGAGGAAAAGGGAGAATACTGGGAAAGGAGATTGACCAAATGGTGTTATGTGCATGTATGAATATGGCATAATGAATCCCACTACTAGCTAACCTCCCAATAAAAAAGAAAAGAAAAAATAGAACTTGTATCCTCCATCCAATTTAAAAATTGTCATGCATCAAGCTATCATCAGCCTCTTGATATGTTCCATAAGAGGGGAAGATCATCAGGGTCTAATCAAGAAGTGCTACCTGTCAGAGGGTAGGGGTCCTTGAGCTGCCATGCCTGACCTCTCAGCCCGCTGCTGTGACATTGTGGGAATTACAGGGTTTGCAATAGGACAAATGTCCTTCTAATTAATAGTAATAAATCTAGACCTATGTACCTTTACATAGGTCTTCTTATCAGTATTTCACATTATATTATATATTTTTTTTTACTTGGATATTGCTCAGGGGCTTCTCCAAAATGGAACCCATGAAAGACAGGACTTGTGACTCAGGCACCACCTTTTATTAATATATACTGAATTAATTAATTATGAAGTTCTTGGGGTTGGGATTTTTGTTGTATTTGCTTTCAGTAAACCTCTAAGGATTAAATGAAAATTTAAGTGGTTTTTAAACTCAGTAGAATTCAAAAAGAGAGACAAAGACTGCACCATGCTGCAACTCAAAATTAGACCACAGGACTGACCACATTTACTGTCCTCATGTCATATCCTCTACTCTTTGGAGATAGCATGGGTTAATGAAAGCATATTCCTTCTTAGTGGGTTGGGGTTGTGGCTCAGTGGTAGAGCACTCGCCCAGCACATGTGAGGCCCTGGGTTCAATCCTCAGGGCCGTATAAAAATGAATGAGTGGAACAAAAGTATTGTGTCAAACTACAACTAAAAAATAAGTATTTTTAAAAATCTTTTTAGTAATTAAATCATTTAAGAAAACAAACAAAAGCAAGTTTACCTCTTAACTTAGTCTCTTAATCTCCCTAGGACACCACCAACAGCAACTTGGCTCTTCCTATTGCCCTCAGATCCTGATCCATTTCTTGCCCTTTAGACTACTCTTCTCAAATGTACTTATTACAGTCTTTCCTTGATGTCTCCATTCATCCAGTATGGATCTCTGTGCTCCTTGCAGGTGCCAAAGTCCAGTGCCTGTCACAGGTAGTATAACAGGAGTTCACTGGATGCTTTGCCTATGTCCCCTGTGGCTTTGAAACTTACACTATTTTTCTTTTTCCCAATCTTCTTTTCCCTTTCTCCTTCCTGATCTTCTTTTCCCTGATCTTCTCCTTCCTGATCTCTCCTCCCTAATCTCATTTCTCTGAATCACCCCTTATAAAAACCCCTGTTCCTGTTGATGGAGAGAATCACAGCCTTTGGGACAGGAGTCCCATATGTTTTTCCTTTGCTTGCAAAGCAATAAACCATCTTTTTTTCCTTTTTTCTCAAAACCGTGTCCTCATTATTAGATTGGCATGGGGACAAGGACAGAGCTTTCAGCAACAGTAGGATCAAGTCCTTGATGGGACCTTATAGCTACAGAGAAACTGAGGATCTACTGAAAACCAGGTATCTCTTGACAGCTCCTGGCTTATCAATGCCTCCACACAGAGTTGCCTCAAAGATAATGTGTTAATCTCAAAGTTTAATGTGCTGCGTGGCTTGGGGAGAAGTTTCCGGAGGACACCCTCTCAAACTAAACAAAACAAACAAGATGTATCTAAGGCAATGGTTACATGATTTTCCAAGACCTTGATCTCAAGATTCTGTTTTGCTGCATAATGTTTTATTTTCTTTTCTGTGTCCCTGGGTAGGTACAACACCCCAACAGGTCAAGGCAGCCACAGTAAACTGGAATGTTTCTCTGGCAGACAGAAAAATGATAGGTCATAATTAATATGCACACTGAATAGCTTTCAAAAGCAATTCTGCTACAAACGGTGCACACATCACACTGCTTTCAAACTTTATGTAATTACACCATGCAGATACTGAGATCTAAATTTTACCCCATCTCTGATTGAAATGAAATCAGGATGTTGGCCTCTTGCTGGCTGTAAAAAGGTCAAAGTGATAAAGTAGCTTTTCTCAGCATTTGGGATTTAAATCCCAATTTCTCCTTCTAGGAATGTGACTGCAATCTCACCTGGGAACTTCAGGCAGTGCTGTTTTACATTTATAGTTTATTTTGCTCAGTAATTATTCACAAAGTGTTTTATAGGGTCTATTTGGTCTCCCCAGTTTGATCATAAACTCCTGGGGTAGTTAGCAACCTTTTAAAAATTAAAAGAACCCACGGAAAGAGAGAAATGCTTAGTGCAGTGCTGTTTACAGAAGTGCACCCAAGGTCACGGGTGCTAGTTTTCTGCTCTCTCATTCAGCTCTGAATCTGGAGAATTACTCTTTTCAAATTGACCCCCGGGAGTACTAATTTGAGGTGGAGGATATTAACTTTTTAAAGTAAGGAAAGCTTATAAAAGTTGAGTATCTCTTAACCAAAAGGTTGGGGGCCAAAAGTTTTTTTTCAGATTTGGGATATTTGCATAAACAGGATGAGATATTTTGGGAATGGGATTCAATTCTAAGCACAACATTCTTTGTTTCACAGACCCCCTTTTATACATAGCCTGGACGTTGATTTGTATAATATTTTTAGTGCAACCGTCAGGTGTGGAAGTGTCTTCTTATGGCACCATGTCTACATTCAAAAAAAAGCTTCAGATTTGGGAGCATTTCAGATTTCAGATTAGGCATGACTATTTTGTATTTTATAATCAGGCGAAGGGTTGTTTAAATACAATTGTTCTCAAATGTGATCTGCAACAAGCGTAATTAAGAAAGAAAGAAAACTAGTCAAAAATGCAAATGCTCATCCAGGCATGGTGGCACATACCTATAATCCCAGGGAGGCTGAGGCAGGAGGATCTTGAGTTTAAAGCCAGCTCCTGGCTTATCAGTGCCTACACACAGAGTTGCCTCTTAGTGAGGCAACTTAGTTGCAATTTAGTGAGGCCCTAAGCAATTCAGTGAAAACCTGTCTCTAAATAAAATATTTTAAAAGGGCTGGGGATGTGGCTTAGTGGTTAAGCTGGGTTCACACCCCTGTACAAAAAAAAAAAAAAAAAAAAAAATCTCTCCCAAACTTACTGAATCAGAAATGCTGGGGATGAAGCCCAGCTATATGGGATCAACATTTCTCCAGGTAATTGCAATGCAGGTTAATGTTTATGAATAGGTTGGAGGTGACCCAGGAAATCTATTCTGTTTTTACTTTAGAAACTGAAAGCAAAACAAAATATATGTGGAAGACTAAAAATAGTAAAGGTACCCTGTAATCAAGGTTTACAATTTGCTTACTAGAAACACTGATTTTAAACTGTGAGGTGTGCATGAAACGTGAGCACATTCCCCTGTATACTCACAGAAAAGAAATCAAAAGAAATGTCGCCCAAAAATCAATAAACTATTTCTGATGCATTTTACAAAGTGTCTTATATAATTTGGACTCATGGAGTCTCCTAACTTCCCTGAAACGAAGACTAAGTATGATTATCTTCCTAATACATAGGTAGAAATATGAACTTCAGAGATGAACTGGGGGACCTCACATGGACACCAAAATCTGCCCGCCTTCAGTATTCCCTTCCCATCCCCAAAGAATATTTCCTTCTTTTATTAAGAGAAATTAATTCCCCTGTCCTCTCACTCTGCTTTGCATAGATTTGGGTCATTGATACTTTCCAAGAGCCCCTTGCTAATGTGCTTGTTGTCTGCAGACCTTTTCCTTCACTTGCAAATTAACAGCTTGTCTCATATTAGACAGATGGACGGATGCACCTGGCTAGATGGAGCTGTAGGTGGATAAACAGATTAAAGAGCTCAGTGGCTGGAGTGCTCGCCGCTGGCCAGACATAATTAAGAAAGGCGGAGTTTGTAAGTTCCACTGGAGCATCAGTGAGGAAAGTCCCAGTCGACTGATGTCCTAAAGCTGCTTCATTTTCTAAATTTTGAGACACATTTGCTGCCATACTGGAGGAATGTTGACACTCTGCTGCTGAGAGAACACAAGTTCAGCTCTTTCCCTATGATGATGCTTCAAATCAATGCTTCTCAGAGTGTTATTTGTTGGTCATCTGTCTCAGAATCATCTGGATGTTTATGAAAAATGCAGATTTCTGAACCACTTTCAGGACCCACTAATTTGGGTTACTCTTGTTTGTTTGTGATGGTAATGGGGACCAGGAATATGCATCATTTAATAACCTGCCTTTAAAATGGAACTACTGGGTAAGTATCCTTAGGTATATAGAATTTCTAAGATCATCCAAAAAGACTGCAGAAATCCACACACATTCTGTGAACAATAACTCTGGTTATGTCTTTCAATCAATCAAATCCCCCAAACCCCCAAACTCTAGATAGAGCAAAGAGTCTGTGACTGAAGCCAGGAAGGCTCTGTCCCAGAAGCCTCCTGAAACACTTGCTGGAAATGCAAATTTTCAGCCTCAGCTCAGGGCTACCCAAACTCCATGGCCTGGGTACTTAGGGATGATTCTGCAAGCTGGAAGTTCAGGAACACTGCTGCAGACCCAGGTTGCACACACTTTTATGCAAAGTGAGTCATCTGCCAAAATGTAAATTATTTTGAGAAGTTTAAGAATTAAGTGATATTGTCCCAAAGGACATTGATGTTACTAATTCATAGACTACACTTCAAGTATCCAAACTCTAGGTTAATCTTTGACCTAATATAATGAATGTCATGGGCTGAAGTGGCTGGTTACTAAACATACTGTAGGCATAGTTGTGTAGATGCTGAGATCCCTCCACTGGCTTTGAGTTTTAAGTACGAAGGATACATTCATGCAGATTGGCCCATACTCCATCTTCCAAAACCCTGACAAGTGAGATTATATAGTTTTATGGGCCTGGGAAAGGAAACTAAAAGTGGCTGAGCTGGGAGCAAAGTCTGCCTTTTGCCCAATGTACAAATATGTCAGTTACCAGCTATTAGGCTCTGTTCCAAACTGACAGTAAGGGACACTGTGCTATGTGGACATGTCTGCTCCCAGCTCTGCCAACTAGGGGCATGTCACATCACATCACATTACCAGGTTCTGTTTTCCTCACTTATTGAGTGATGGTCTTTGCCCGCCCTGAACAGCCTGGTCCTATGACCCTTCGGTCCTTTCTATTATTACACTTGCTCCATTGCTCCCAGTGCCTGAAGGTTGCCACATTACCACCCTTTGCACTTAGGAGTTCAGTGAAAGCAAGGGATTCTGCTCCCTGGAGTTTGCTTCTGTTGCTGATTCGGGCATCACAAGCCTTGGTGACACGTGTAGGAATTCAGAAGCTACATGCTTCCTGGGCTTGTACTTTTCACCTTTACCTTGATAGGTTTTAAATTATTCATCCTCGATGTTCCATCGCACTAAAATTGCTAATTTGAAATATGGTCACATACAGGATTAGTTTGCCCGGCTGTCAAGGGTTTACTAAGTAGCTCGTGTCCACAGAGATGAGGAATGTATAAATTAGAGAGTGAGGATTTGCTTATAAGAGGGACCTACCAGAATAATTTGTGCAATAAAGACTTTGAATAGCTAGTAGGTTTATAGAATTTCTCTAGTGTAATTAGGAGAGGCATTGTTGTGTAATGAAGAAAATTAATTAGAACTAAACGTTTAGGGAATGTGTGGTTAGGTAACCAAAGGCATATTTGCAGCCTAATTGTTTTTTTGGCAGCTGGAGGCGTTTTATACCCTTTCAGGATGTTTAGTTAATGGATATTTTAACATGCCCTACTGTTTGCTTTTCTTTAAATTTAAACTACTTCAATATAGAAAAACAGCTCATCAAAGGTTTAAACCAAGTATATGTTCCGTTGGGGAAAAAATGCTTCTGCTATCAGGTTTATTTGATCATACTGTTTGTCAAATGTTAATTATTTTTAGAAGTCCAAATTGAGGCTAATTGGCCTGCCCTCCTGCACCATGTAATTACTGAGTTCTACTGTATGCGTCTGAGACGAAAGTACCAAGACGTTTCCTAATATTGTACCATTATTACTCCCAACCTGCAGTCAATTCTCAAGTAGTCTGCCTCTCCAGTCCTCTCCAGAACAAAGCAGATTTGGGAAGTACAGTAAACTTTAAAAGTAAGAAGAATTATTTATCCAGCCTGCTGATTGCTTTTATAATATTCATATTCTGAAGTCGAGCATGCATAAGTTTAAATCCTCACTCTATGTGATCTTGGAAAAGTTATTCAAACTACCTAAGACTTGGTTTCACAATCGGTAATTGAGGGATAATAACCCTAAGATTAAAAATTTGTGGTAAAAATTAGACAAGATAAGTATACCTTATTAGAGTTTTTTAGCCGGGTGCAGTCCTATAGGCCTCTAATCCCAGCAACTTGGGATGCTGAGGCAGGAGGATTGCAAGTTCCCAGCCAGCCTTGGCAAATTAAAAAGACCCTGTCTCAAAATAAAAATTAAAAAAATAAAAATAAAAAGGGCTGGGGACCTAGTCCAGTGGTAGATTACCCTTGGGTTCAATCCTCAGTACCAATAAATAAATAACGATATTTTGAGTTTCAGACTAGAAAAACAGCATTTAAAAAATCACTTAAAATGATAACAGAACAGGGAAATAGGCTGTTTTAATTTACAATAATTTTAGAATTAAAAATTTTTCAAAAATATACAGTTTCTACATACTCTTCATCCAGATTCCCCATATACAAACAACTTGATAACTGCCATAATATTATTAAAATCTATGAAATTAACATTGGTGAAATACTTTTTTCATAATTGTCTTTTTCTGTGTGGTGCTAGGGATCAAACCCAGGGCAAGTGCTCAATGCACTGAGATATACTCCCAACTTGATAAAATACTCTTAAAGACATGATTTCAATTTTGGCA